CAGAGTATGGGTTGGAGTAAGGCTTGTTGAAATTAGAGACAACATTTGTTTGCTCTAACAAAACCTCTTTGAATGTTGGAATTATAGGACACTCCCCAGTAGGGTGTCTTGTTAGCGCACAAATCCCACACACTTGTTCTGTGGGAGAGCTAACATTAACTTGATGAACCTTTTTTATTTCTAAAGCTTCAAGCTTTCGAGATAGGGGGACATTTTTGCTCTTAGGTTATCATCCTCTTTCAAGACATACTTACCTCCTTGGGAAGTAGATGGTTTGGTTTCAATAATGGTAGGGGAGGATGAGTCCTACATCTGAGAACTGTCAGATATGGTATCGAAAAAATTGAATGCCTCCTCCGAATTCTTGCTCATAAACTCTCCTTGAGCCATCATTTCATCAAACTGACGTAGTCTAGTGGGCAAAGAGTCATAGAAAAATCCTACCATAGTCCAACTCTCAAAAGCATGGTGTGGGCAAGACATGAGTAGATCCTTGAATTTCTCCCAACTTTGGTAAAATGTTTCTCTTTCTTTGACCAAAAAATTCATTATTTGCCTTTTCAATGCATTAGTGCGGAGTAGAGGAAAAAACTTTATGAAATATTCATTTTATAATGCCCACCAGTCAGGTATTGAAAAGTTTAGACCAGTTTAGAATTGTCTTGAAAAGTTCCACATACTTCCTCAAAATCTTTTATATGCATATATGAGTTTTCTGTTTCGAGCCTATGAAATTGAGGAAGTAGTTGAAGTGTCCCCATCTTTACAGTAAAGAGGGGTGCATCTTCAAGAAAGATAAAATAAGAGGGGACACTATTCCTTGTGGGATTTAAGTAATCCCTAAGAGTTCAAATGTTAGGTACTTCTCCCTCTCTTATAGGAATTTCCTCTCGTCTTTCACCATTTGTCATTTTACTTTCACAAGAGTCTGCTACTAATCTAGGTTAAAGTGGTTCAGATTTATTCACAGACCCAGGAGATTCAACTGATAAATTTTGATAGTGAGGAGCATTTTCAGACATAAAAGTAATTAAAACAACTTTATATACAGTAAAGTAAATTTATACACAAGAAGTGAGGTTTTCTTACCTTTTACTGTAAAACACCTTTTATGGTTGCTTGGCAACGACGCCAAAAATTTGACTTGATCCGAAATGTGTACACCCAAGTGCAAGTGGTCAAGTTGTAATAATAATCCGGTTAAGTCCAGAGTCGAATCCACATGTAACTATGATTGGTGTTTTGAAGTAAGCCATAATAGAGACCAAGTAACTAAAAAGTTCGAGAGTTTAGAGTGGTGGAATTTCTTGAATAGAATAGAAGATTCTTTTCAAGAGTTTTCTAGACAAAATATAAGATTCTCAATATGTAACAGCCACCCTTTAGCTCGAGGATTAGGACATGTAATAGACTATCCGGTTTATTATGTTTGTGCTTTATAACTCAATTAACTCCCGTGTCAACAGCAAGTTAATCGAAAGATAAAGATGGACTATGAGAATTAAGCACATGATTTTGATGCCTTTCTAGAAGTTTACAAGAATTGTCTGTGTCGAGACTTAACCCATCTACAAATAAGCAAGTGTTTCTACAAGGCATCCAACCATGACATTAATGATCCGTTCTTTGAATAAAACACAATAATGTTAGGGATTGAAAGGTTGTCATGAAAAGCTAGCGGGGGTGCTTGCCTTGAACCAACGAGTTTTTTTATGCAGGAGTCATCTGTATCATAGATGGAGCCCTTGGTTATACGAAGTACCTCAACTTTGCTAGATGTATTCAATCATCCAATAAGCAAGTGGAATATAAAATATTAAACAATAAAGGAGTTGTACAAACATAACTTCCGGATAATCTTTAAATATTCATCACCTCTTACTAAAGAGTGAATGATGAACTATTCACTCTTGATGGTCTTGGCAAAGCTAAAAAAGTGAGTAATGGTCATCTCTCCAAGTAGAGGAGCTACTAAGTGAAGCAAACTAAACAAAGAGCTTATATTCAATGAATAATAAGTGAATCACTTTCCACCATTCACGGCTTTGGTAAAGCTCTAGAAAAGTGAAAGAATTTCACTCTTCTAAGAAAGAGGGATGCTTAAGCAATAGAAGTGAAATACAAGAATAATAAAAGTAGAAGAAAGCTAGTTACTTTTGGAGGGTTTCCACCACAACCAAAAGATGAGCTATCTCTATTGATACTTGTAAATAAAAGCAAGTACAACTACAAGGGGAGTCTAAGCCTCCATCATGGTTGATATTAAAATGAAACAAGCAATGTATACAAACTAACTTTCTAATTTACAAGAGAAGAAAAATTGATAAGAAGAAAAGCTCTTTATTTTTACAAAAAGGCCTCCCCTTTAAGCTCCCAACATGGGAGTATTTATAGGCAAGGAAGGGGAGGGGGGGTGAAGGAATAGTGTTTGCCGCCCAAGTCCAAGTGAAAAACCAACAACTCTGCAGCTAGTCAGTGGGGGATGTTTGAACGTGATATGACGTTCGAATGTTGAGTCTATCTTTTCTTTAAGGATGTTCGAATGTGAAATGTCGTTTGAACGTTGTCTGTGTCTTTTCTTTGAGGGCATTTGAACGCCAGATGGGGTCTGATTCTTTCCACTCAAGTGGCCTGTGGTCTCTGTGATGGTCAATTCCATACGTCTTGAACAACTTTGACCTTACACTCAGCAACTTGGTCCTCAATCACTCAAGACAACGTTCAAATGTGGAGTGGCATTCGAACGTTGTACACAAGTACTTCTATTATGTGGTTCTTCTTTCTTTATTGCAACATGCCAGGTTCCAGTGGTGTAGACTTCTCAAGATTTCAGAGGATGTTCGAACGTAAGTTGGCGTTCGAACGTGGTACTCAAGTGGTTCAGAGCTTCAGAGTCCTCCTTTGTTTGTTGCAACAGGTCATGTCTCTTTAGTCTGGCCTTCAATCAACTCAAGTGGACGTTCAAACGTTAGTTGGTGTTTGAACGTGGTACTCAAGTACCTCAGGGTCCTGTGCTTGACTGCAACACACTATCTCAGTAGGCTGATTCTGTCATAGTTCAAATGGACGTTCGAACGTGATTTGGTGTTCGAACATTCTTGCTTTGTTCCCAGCCTCTCCAATTTCATTCCCTAATGTGCTGATGCGATATCCAAGCGTGACTTTTGTTGCCCTTGACCCCTTGTTCACTTTAGAACTTGAAATATCCTTACTTGAACTCCATAAAAGTATAATCAGTCTTTAAAAAGGCATAATAATATGCTACTTTTAAGTATTAATCAGTGGATATATAGATATGTATGGAAATACCCCATTTTCATTCGGAGACGAAATTTCTAAGGAGGGGAAAATTGTAAGATCCATACACACATTACAAGCATATAATATTTGTCATAAGTATATTCACATGTGACATGCATGCATAAGATTGACGATTAGTATTTAATTACAAGTAATGATATGAGACTTGAACCTAAACGATGAATATTTTAATATTTAGAGATAACTTTATAAAGAATGGTTATAGAGAGAGAATTATTTTATTTAATATATGAAAAGTTAAATAAGAATGTTGACATGTGATATGACTTTATTATTTTATGTACGTTAGCACATGTGGAATTAATCGGGTGACAAGTATGTAACATCAATTTATTGTTATTAAAAATAATAATAATAAAATAAAATGTATTAGTATATACAATAAGTGTTAAGGGTCCGAGATATATTTTTGTTCCTTTTTACCTTCTATTTTATCATGAAAATTATACTTTGCATTCCAAAAAGTTAACTAAAGGTGCAACGTTTTTTTGTGATTCCTATTTTTTAAGTTTTCACCGTTTTTAATTGTTAAAGATTTCTTAGATTTTTTTACAATAAATGCATTTTGATACTTATAAATGCAGGCAAATGGTTAATAATAACCTAGAAAGTGTGGGGTGTTAATGTGATATACTTTTTTTTTCTCTAGTAATACTATTTGTATCTAATATAGGAATTTAATAAAAAATTAATGTATTACTTTTATTAGATTGACAATGAGCTCCATCTAACACTTCTATACTTTTTCAATCTGTAGCAACAACTTAATTAGATCTGGAATTGTGTTATCAAATTATGTCCTAATAAACATTACCTATTACTAAACATGTTAATATAATTACCGCACTTGGTAATTTTGTACAATTTTTGACTTTTGAGAGACTGTATTTTTGTTAAATAATACTAGACCATATAAATAACAGTAATGTTCCAAAAAGTAAACCAATTGAGGGATTGCATGATTTGGTATTGAAGAAAATTTTAACTTTAATTGAAATTCATTTGATTAAAATTTAAAACAAATTTAAATGTCGTACCTATCGAAGAAAGGGTGAGCTCAACTCAATGAGATAGAATTCGGCCAAATTATAACTTTTTCATACTGAACCTATCATATCACTTGGTCCTTTATTTCTTCGTATTTTTTTATGAGTGTAACGTTCTTCAATGACTAATCAGAAAAGAGTAAATCATCAAAAAAATATTACTCACCAAATAAGAAAGAAATCAATAATTATAAAAGGTAGAGGGCAAATTAGGTAATAAAGTCAGAGTCACATTTTGAATTCAAAGGGTATAAATGGAAAACAAAACAGTATCGTTTGTGGGGCCTCCCAAGACGACAAAGAATGCAGGGGGGCTGGTCCGTGATGGATGAATCGATGCATTTTTCTCCACCGATCCACTTTTCCATTCGGAGCTTTTGTCCTCTCTTTAGCCCTCGTGTTAATAAAGGGAAAAGAAGACAGAAAAAATAAATGTTCTAGAGAGAGAAAGAGTGCCGTCTAGCAGCCACACACCGAGCGAGCGAGCGAGAGAGAGAGAGTGTGAGTTAAGCAGGGGGTTGGCCATGGTGGAGTGGGCTTGAGCTCTAACCTACGTAGGGAGTGTAGTTTAAGCTCATTTCTGGTACTTGGGTTTGGGCATTTGGGTTGTATTTTTGGGTGGTGGGGTTGAGTATGGCAGCTGCGCAGTTTAGAAGAGAGCGGACGAGAATAGCAGTTGCTCGGGCTTTGTTCTTCTTCTCTTTCTGGTGTCTGATATCTCTATCTGGCGCCGGTAGGCTGCCTTCCTCCCGGCAGAAGCTTGAAGTCCACAAGCATTTAAAGCGCATCAACAAACCCGCCGTTAAAACAATTCAAGTGAGTACAAAATCTCTGTTTGATTGCGCTGATAAAACGGGCCTTATGGGTTGTGCTTGATGAGTGTTTTTGCTTCTTGATTTCTCTCCTTTGCTAAAATTTCAAAACAACCATTGTGGGATTTTGTTCCTTGAAATGATTCTGTGATTATTTCCTCCCTCATCTATCTATATCTTTATATCTATTACCCTTTTTATATACGTATTTGTTTTGGGTTTTTATTTATTAATATGCATCTGAAGCATTTTACTTGTTTTCTGAATTACATTATTTTTTCTTCTGTTTTCCATGGAAGTAGTTTTTTTGCCATTTGGTGATTCGATTTTTCAACCATTTACACAGAGCCCTGATGGGGATACCATTGACTGCGTGCACATCTCTCATCAGCCAGCCTTTGATCATCCATTCCTTAAAGACCACAAAATCCAGGTACATTTTAACGCTCAAATTCTTGTAAGTGATGTCACAATTTTTTTTTTTTTTGGGGTACTATTTTTATGTTTTATTTGGGTTTTCTCAGATGAGGCCTAGCTATCACCCAGAAGGTCTATATGATGAGAGTAAGGTGTCCACCAAGGAAACAACAAACCCAGTCACTCAGTTGTGGCAAATGAATGGTAGATGCCCTGAAGATACCATACCCATAAGGCGAACAAAGAAAGATGATGTTTTAAGAGCAAGCTCAGTGAAAAGGTATGGAAAGAAGAAGCATAGAACCATACCTCAGCCCAGGTCTGCAGATCCTGATCTTGTCAATGAAAGTGGTCATCAGGTAAATGAAGGACAGGAAAAAGGTTCTCTTTATGATTAATGTGACAAAATAAAGAAGAAAAGGGATAAAAAGTTGAACTGTAATTTGGTTTTGATTTCTTTGCAGTTTTTACTGAATGAATTTTTCTTTAATGCAATTTGGTTTTGATTGGGGGCTATCAGCATGCAATTGCATATGTTGAAGGAGATACATATTATGGAGCAAAAGCAACCATAAACGTATGGGAGCCCAAGATACAGCAGCCTAATGAGTTCAGCTTGTCTCAGATTTGGATACTGGGTGGTTCTTTTGGTGAAGATCTCAACAGCATTGAAGCTGGTTGGCAGGTAATTTGTTACCCCAATTCTAAGTTAGCCCATGGGGTAAAAGAAAGGAACTGAAAATGACTACGAATATATATATACATCCATTGCATAATTTGCTCTTTTATTGAATTTGATGGTAGGATTTACATGGTTTCAGGTCAGCCCAGATCTTTATGGTGACAACAACACAAGATTGTTCACTTACTGGACGGTAAGCTTCCAAAATTTACACTCCATTTTTCTAGTTTATCATTTTAACTGTCCCAACCGGTTCTCACTGATTTGCCCCTCTACTAAATTTGCAGAGTGATGCATATCAAGCCACTGGATGCTACAATCTTCTCTGCTCAGGCTTCATTCAAATCAACAGCCAAATAGCTATGGGTGCAAGCATCTCCCCTGTTTCTGCCTACAGAAACTCCCAATATGATATCAGCATCCTTGTCTGGAAGGTGAAATCCAAATCCACCCCACTTAGCCTCTGGTGGAGTGATGGGCACCATTTGCATAATTTACAATAGCAGAGTGTATAGAAAAAGATAATGAAGGTGATATGGTCAAGAATGGATTTTAGAATCACTAGACGTGCAAATGCATCCTTGGCAGTGTCAGCAGTCAAGAAATGTAGCTGAACATGTGTGCTGTTTGGCATATTCACCCTGTACTGAAACTACTTAATTGCCCTTAAAGAGTCATCAATATTTACATAAATATGGTTGGAAAACATCATGAGGATAGTCCTTTCGTTTTCATAGTTAAAAAAAAGTTTAGTATAGTGCCCTAAGCTTTTTGGGAAGTAACAACAGCATCACCCATGTATAATTGAGGTGCGAAAAGGTCATCATGGGTTAGATGCTAAGAATCTTTGGCGTCTTGCTTTGGTCTCTGACCTAGAAACTGACTGCATTTGATGAAGGTCACTCTTATTCTTGAAAAATAACTCAAGATTTGACATTCACCCTCATGCCTTGCTCAGCATAACATTTGTGTCAAGAAATCTGTAGTTTCAGATTTTTCACTGCATTGTTGGAAAAGTAATATATAAACTAAGGGTCTCTTTTTAAAAAAAAACAAGTTGCTTATTACTTACCCTTCAATTTTCTTTCTTTGTAGGATCCAAAAGAGGGACATTGGTGGATGCAATTTGGCAATGACTTTGTGTTGGGCTATTGGCCTTCTTTCTTGTTCTCATACTTGGCAGATAGTGCTACCATGATTGAGTGGGGTGGTGAGGTAGTGAATTCAGACCCCAATGGTCAGCACACCTCAACACAAATGGGTAGTGGTCATTTTCCTGAAGAAGGATTTGGCAAAGCAAGTTATTTCAGGAACATTCAGGTTGTTGATAGCTCCAACAATCTCAAGGCTCCCAAAGGTATTGGCACCTTCACTGAGCAATCGAACTGCTATGATGTGCAAACTGGCAACAATGGTGATTGGGGTCACTACTTTTACTTTGGAGGCCCTGGTAGAAACCCAAATTGCTCATGAAGAGAGAGTAGAGACTCCATAACAACCTCTGTTGTATTATTCAGTGTAGTCTAATGTCTTAATCTCTGTTCTGTATACCTGTTTTTTTCTTTCTTTTTTGTCTTCGTAGGTTGGGTTGGTAAATGTGATCTTTGTTCTAGTGGGAGGTTTTTGACTCTTTTGCTTTTTTCCTTGAAAAGTTCTCCATGTAAGAGATGGTGGAGGTGGCCAAGTTTCCCATAAGCTTAAAAGAAACAGGCCTTTGTCATTTTCCTTTTATATTATTTGTTTATTGACTCCTCTCTTGGAGTGGTTTGTCCCTGGAATGGATGAATGAGTTTATGAGCTTGGTTGTTGAGCAAAATGCTGCATTTTAGAGCTTATAGAATTTCTACTTGGAGTTGTGTGGAAAGTATGGTCTCTTCTGGTGGCGTGTGTCTAATCTGGTGAGGGTGGGGATGTGATTTGGATGAGAGCTGCATGTGGGTGGATGACAGTGTTTTTCACTTTTGGGCCATCTCGCTTTTGTGAAGAACCCCACCACTACTTTTGAGTTTTTCAACAATCTATGGCAATTTTTACATATAATAATAATCTCTAAAGTATTTGCCTTGTGGCAATCCGGGTCTCATTCTCTCAATTATATCATTTTTATCCCTGAGTTTTTACTTTGTCAGTAGTCCAATAAAAATGGCCGTTTAAGTAAACTCTTTTAAGAGATTACTTCGATATTTCAAGTTTGAATATTTTTTATTTTGGTCATTTAGTAGGGGTGTCAATTTTTGACTCAAACATTAATCCGACTCGAATCGAATCCGACACGAATTCGAAAATAACACGATTAGTTGACACGAGTAATAAATTGATTAAATTAAAGTTCAATACGAATAACACCATTAATTAGTATACTAGATAGAAAATAATTATTTAATGAGTTTTGTAGATAGAAAATAAGAATTTTATAATTTTTTAAATAATATTATATTAGTTGTTAAATTAAATAATTTTTTATTAACACGAATAGTGATATAAATCCGACACGTACCGAAAGTGATACGACATAAAAATAACATGACCAAAAATGACACGACACAACACGATTGACACCCTTATCCTTTAGTCCCTTGCCAATTCAAAAATTGTCTTTAAGTGTGTGGTCCCTTATATCTATCAGTCAATTTAAAGTGGTCTTTTCAATTGATCTAAGGTGACACAAATTGAATATTAGATTAATTAATTGATACAATTGAAAGATTGAGAATTAAATAACACAAAATGCAATATTTGGAGACTAAAAATATATTTTATCCTTAATTTCATTTGAATATTATAAATAAGTATAGTTTAGCCAATTTTTTGTTAATAAGTACAAACATGTACTTTTTAAGATTTTAAGTGCTTGTATGTATAAAAAATGAAGTGTGTGATCTCAAGTTGTTATTTTTAAAATTTTTAATAACAAGAATACCCTTTATATTAATTCTCACATTTATGAGTCTCCTCAACATCTATTCCTTCAATTACTAAATATTTTTTCTCCCCCTTCTCTCTTCCATCTCACTATGTCTCTCTCCTCTCTATTCCTTTAATTTCTCTCTCTATCTCTTATTTAGATTCTTATCTCTTCAATATCATTATTTCTCTCTCCTTTCTCTTCCATCTCTCTCTTCTATATCTTATTTAAGTTTTTTTCTCTTTCTCTCCAATCTCTTTATGTCACGCCCCAAATCTTCAAACAACATGATTTACATAAAACAGAATTTAACCTATGAGGGAGGATACTAATTATTAATTAATACAAATCACTGAATTAGACGATATCCATCATTTAATTATAATCTTAAAAAACAATGACTCGTTAAAAAAAAGGGTACATCCCAAAAATCTACGAATAACTATTCAACTCATAATTAGCTACATCCACCATAAAAGTCCATAAATTGTTTCCAACATTCAAAAGAAATCAAGATAAACAAAACAACTAATCATCAAGCATCAATATCTAAATCCTCATCTTGATCCGCTTCAAAATATCCATCCACATGCTCATTTAAGCTGCCATTAGTCTCAATCCCTAAATTTAAAAAATATTAAGGTGTGAGAAAAATTAGCTTAGTGGAAACTCTCGCAAGCCTAAATAATGATTTGAAATATAATAAAATCAAACATGCCTTATTTTTAGATCGGAATGAATTTTGAATATTTAACAGATCTGGATATGGATCACAAAATGTGATCTGCTAGATAATTGGATTGAATTCGGACCAGACTTTTAAACTTGAATTTGGATTAATCAAAATCTAATATGTTGACAAGCCTATATATATAAAGCATTTGAAGTAAAGTAGGTAATATTATTAACAATCTCATATTTTTATTCATGCACAAGAATGTCATCAAATAATCACTCTAGATATAGCAGACAATTTAGTTAACAAGAATTCAATACACCGAAATACATCTGGTCCACAACACCACAAGTACAAATCATCCAATCAATTATGCTAGGGCTACATCATTCTAGGAAATGCGTATACTGGCGCCTCAATATTCAACTAAATCTTTCAAGGATTATCACACTAATCGTTTACCTTGGTCAACGTAAACGAATAGTAGTTTGGAACCCCGCAAGGAATCTACACTCCACTATGAGAGATAAAGAATTTTCAAACCCCTCAAGGTAAGAAATTCACTTAAATACTCTGCGGTATATGTTCGAGTGCATTCAAGTTTATCAAACCCACCAATTCAAGAGAGTACAATCATGCTTTCCAAATGAATCCAATTATGTAAGAAATGATAGTTTGATAATTTGTAAATCCAATAAAAGAGAATATTAAAACATGTGTGAGATTGTAAGAAAAACATTCTCTAATTATCACTATTCAAGATCTAGGGTTTGTGAACTCAAAATGCATAGAGAATTGAAAATCAGGTATTTTTTCAATAAGATTTCATCATGTTTTTTCAATAAAAGCTAAAAGTCATTGTGGATCTGTAATTACTTATACGAATAGAAGTAAAAAATTACATATATAGTAACCCTAATCTTAATGAATATGAAAGGGAAAGAAACCCTATCTTGATTCCACTGAAATCAGTCCTAGAGTATTATAAGTTATTTTTTATGATCCCGCATAATCTGAGCCGATCTCTTTCATCTTCCTTATCTTCTTCTCTTCAAGTCTCTTATAGGCTCTTTGAGTTGAAATTCGTGTAAAGAACCCCTAAAATGAATCCATATGGTTTATATAGTCCCAAGAATAGGTCAAATGATGTAAAATTGAGAAACTCGATTTTGGTAGACGTTCACACGTCCGGACGCAGATTTTTTCATTCGGACGGACCCAAATCTCTACGAGAAGTTTCAGAGGTGCGTCTGGACTTGCTCTTTTTTCATCTGCACGTAGGGGACTTTTGCCCCAAAATTGCAGCCCATTTTTTATCTAGTTAGAAGTCGATTCATGAACTTTTCATGATATACACTTTTGTAAACCTTAAAGTTTTCTTTCTAATGGAATAAGAATCAGCGCAATCAAGCATCGAGGTAACAATTTATTGCCAAAATACTGAGGTAGTGTCAAATTCTTTCATTCTCGAATTCTCTCCAAAATATGTCTGAGGCCCAGAATACCTCCAAACTTCTTTTTGTTTCAACTTTCAATCTCTAAAATTATCCTAAGTGATCTTGTAACACTTAAGATTCACCTTTAATCACCAACATCTTAATCAATGAGCATTTTTGATCTCTTATAGAATAAAGTACCAAAAATACCAAAATTACAATCTTATCCCTCCTGACCACTATACGAATCGAATGCCTATCCCAAGTTTTTTTGACCTCCCGAATTCAATGATAATATTATTTTGACCTTGAAATTTTAGAAACTTACCTAGCAACCTTTCTTAAGGCTAAATGCATCTAAAACTAAATTTAACTTGAGAACCAACACGTGCAAAAATCAAACTTTACAACTATTCTTTTAACATCAATCAAAGTTTCTACCATTGTTTTAGTTAGTTTAGAAAACTGTTAAGATAATATTATCCATGTTTAATTATATTAGAAGGTCTTACAGTTTCATTCAACTCTATCTTTCTTTTTTCATTTCCTTCAATTACTCTCCTTTAATTCCTATTCTCTCTATTTTATTTTATGTATTATATCTCTATTCTCCATCGTTGTCTTATCCTTCTCTCTCTGTCTCTCTTTTATTCTCTTTATTCTATCTCTCTTTTCCACTATGTATCGCTGAGAGGTTTTGTTGATTGTTGTCTTCAATAAAACCATCTGTTGTTGTTGTAAATTCAAAAGATTCATGGTGGACATGGTCTTGCACAGCTCGTTTTGGCAGCATTTATTGGATTCAATAGTAATGGCCACGGTAGGTTGATTTTTCTCTCCAAATTTAGACTCTTTCGTATATTCATACACGATAAAAGCAGTCAAAGGGATATTGTGACACATTCATGGTGACATGATATAACCCTTATATATATGCAGTAAATATATATATGAAAAAGACAATTAGGTTTATATATGCAGTATATATATTCTATATGGAATGTCCTAAAATGAAGGAGTTTTTGCATCAGTTTGAATATTAAAATGAGCAATTTTTGTGCAGATCATTAAGGTGTTCAATTTTTTTTTAAATAATGGTAAATGAGACTTTTGGAAAGGTATTGCGTTTTTAGCCTTAAAAAATTGCTTGAACATATTCAGCCAATTATCCTCTAAAGTGGACCGGCCACCAAAAAACCCTAATTTTATCTTCTCAACACAGATAATATTATTAATATCCAATTAATTTTACTTTTGGATAATGATGTGCTGCCTGCCAAAAGTCAATGGGATAACGTAAACCCCTATGAATTTATTTAATTATATAATAGGATGTTAAATAGTTAAAAAATTGAAATGGCGATATACAAATCAAAATAGTCGGTATGGTGTAAAACAACGATGTTTGGAGGAGTGTATAGTATAGAACGAGCCTAAGTTAAAGAATCAAGTCCGT